GTGTGTGTGTGTGTGAGTGACTGATGCAAGAGAGCACACCTGGTACTTATTAGCTGCCTCTTCCTGACACCTCTACCTGCTGCAGCTAGAAACTGTACTCTGTAGTCTGCCTCTGTACTTATTTGGTGCAAAACTCTACTTTTATATGTTTTAAATATTGGTTGATCTCCTGGTTTCTACACTGTGACGGCCCCTGCCTGATCTGCTGATATGCAGATGTGGTAGACAAGTTACTGTTTTTCCTATGTGTCCTTGAAGGTACCATGCAGCAGCCAGCCACATGTGGAACACTTGGGCCAAGCGCTCCGACAGAATAAAAATCCCAGCCCAGCTTTGCTCTCATCTCGCTCCATCCCCGCCAGCGTTAGCACGCTTTCAGCTTTTGTTTGACTTTTTGTTTTGTTTCCACAGCTACACCTCATACTGCTCACACACCCACACACGCTCACCACTGATCTTACGGACCGAAACAACGCTTCACATTTGCAGTTAATACCTAAGTTGTTTAATAAATACATTCATTTACTGTCATTTACTGTGTTCATTTCTGTATTTGTCATGGCCTAGAAGCTGCATTATTAAAATACAGCAGACTTAAATTATCCCACAATGCAACATAAAACATATTGTCAAATTGATGGTCACTAAACAAGATTTATCTACCAACATGCAGTGGGCAGACAGTTAAAAGAGGTTAATTTAGATGTCAGCTGGGTGAGAGGAATGACCTCAGTAGTTTTTGAGTTTGCCTTTCATACACTATTTAGTCCTCTAAACAGAAATCACAGAGCAGTGAATATTTGTTCCCCATTAGCTTCCACACAGTGGTCACTAAGTCTTCCTGGGGTCCGGTAGTAAATAGTGAATGACTGAATGATTTCAAAGACAGACTATCACAGACTCTCAGACTCTTGTAAAATGAGTACCCAATAACTAAATATGTAACCTGTATACACTATTTTTCTATACAGTGTAATTAACTGACTTTTATATGTAAATAGTTATAGATATTTGCTGCATATTTGCAAATGTGTATATTTCTATGTTAATGTCCTCTGTGTGTGTGTGTGTTTGTGTGTGTGCATCAGTTTAACCTCTCCAACAGAGTTCGACAGGGCCTGGACAATCTTCTCGTGTGCTGTGGCCACCACACTCTGCCCATTGATCTCTATGATCCTGTGACCCACACGGACCCCACCTCGCTCAGCAATGCCTCCTCGCATCAGACTGCATATCTGACGGGCAACACAGACATGGAAGACCCCATGTTATCGGCATTTTAGATGAATAGAGAGTAATTAATACCACTGGAAGGGTAAAATGTCGGCAGTGATACGGTGATGGCATCTGAAACCGAGGCTGCGAGGTTACAAGAGATAGTTTACATGGGAAAGACAATGATGAACTGATTGCTTAACATATTTGGGTTTTTAGCAGGGACTGCATTAAGTGTATATTGTTAAAGGCAAAGCAGCAATTTATCACAACACTGCAAATGACAGTCTTTCTTCAGTGTTTCCAATAAAGAGCAAATAAAATAATGAACAGATTAATCTAAGACATGCACATGCTGTACGGTACCAATAGAAAATATATCAACAACTAAAGTTAATTATTTATAAATGAGAAAAACACAAAAAAGCAGTACTTTTTAATTATGTATATTATATTATAATTATTACTAATATCCAATTAGCTCAGACTCATACTTACAATGCCGTTCTGGACACTGAAGCCCAGCTGATACTTTAGGTCTGGTCTCTTAATGAGTACAGTGGTAACAGGAGGGCAACTAACAATGTTCATTTTCACCTGAACCTGGTTCTTCAAGCCCTTTAACACAATAGAAACACACAAACATAAAAAGCTCGTTCAGTTTTTTTGTGTAAATTTGTGTTAATTCCATATCTTAAACTGCCTCTTTCACTCTTTCAGCCACACTGTTGTGTACATCTTCAGCGTCTCTGTACCTTAATAATTCCCTGACAGGTGGCGAGTGGCAGCCCCACTAGGCTGGTGTTGTTGATGGACATGATCTGGTCTCCGATGCTGAGCTTGCCAGAGCGAGCTGCTGGCCCGCCGTTCATCATGTTGGCTAATATAACTGTGGGCAGAATGGAGCCCCAGCCAGACTCCACAATCACCACACCCAGGATCTCCCCTTTACTCTTCTCCAGCTGCAGCTGTGGACAGGGAAAGAGAGTGGAGGACACAGTTTGTTGGTCATTTATCATACACAGAAACTGAGTGACTGTAATTAAAACTATATGACTAGAGTAAACTGATAACTGACTGATTTCGATTTTTGAGATCACAATAGTGTCAGAAACAGTCTGTTTGCATCAGTGTGCTTCTGCTTTTTTCTCCTCAACACATCTGTTGCTTATTTTAAATCGCAACTGAAAACTCACCTCTTTCTATTAGCCTTTCCTGGTGCTTCATAAGGTATTCATTATGAATGTATCCTTTTATCTGTTTAATTCAGCATTTATCTGCATAACTCATTATCTTTCTAACTCTTATCTGGTTTTGTAAAGTTTCCTTGGCTGACTTGAAAGGCGTTTCTAAATAAAATACATCAATAAATAAAATGCAACAGTCGATCTGAGAAGCACCTGATTCGGATACACATTGCTGGGAATTTCACTTAAAACATTATGATTTCTTTTTGATACCTGCCAGAAAATTCCCATTTTCTTTCTTCCTACCTTGGATCAGAGCAGAAATCTGTGGGATAATAGCAGACCTGGAGCTCAGATCGTACATCTGGTAAATATCCCGATACATACAGTACACGTCTAGGTTTCTATACCTTTAATATTTCTGGTTGCATTAGACGATTGCAGCCAATGCTGTTAAAACTTGACTTAAGTTTTAAGATTTTAAGAAATGTTGCATTATTAAGAAGTACCTTTAACTCTTACATTAAGACTGTATATTATATGTATGAATGGATTTTCTCTTGAATTTACACAAATATATTATTATTATTATATATCACAAATAAAAATAGATATCCATTACTTGTCCATGTTGCCCATCCCTATCAAAGGGATTTTGTTAGTTGTGTTAGTTAGAAAGGTGTTCTATAAATGTATTATAGTACTATATCGGACATTTATTTCCACAGCATCTTAATGAACAGAATCTGCACCTCAAACCTCTACCTGACGTTATCTCAGTGAACAATGAAGCTTATCTGTGCTGCAGGTCAGATGTGACTTCTACATCCCAACCAATCTATTTAGGGTGAATATGTTATTTATGTAAGTAAGGCATACACATTAAAAGATAACCAGTGATTTATTAATAGAGATATATTACATTAACATTTGAATTCCCAGGCCTTAACAGATCCAAGTATTAAGCACATCTCAACCCTGTCTTAATGCAGAATACGTTTTTCCTGCTTCAACTCTTAACCAAAATAAGCGACTAGCGTACATGAAGCCATGAGAAATTTACTTATTCTCAACACAGTTGGTTAAGGAAGATAAGTGCTTCAAGAAAGCCCAGTTTCCCCATAACTAAAATTTACTGGTGTGTCTCTGAAATAGCAGCTGTGTGGTAGTGCCCATGCAGCCTCTCTGCTCATACAGCACAAACTGTTTCACGGTTTCTAATTCTCCAAAAGCCTCCAGTAACGCTTTCAGGGCACAGTGTTAGCTAAAGAGGAAATGCTACAGCAACATAAAAAAGACGAGAGATGACATGCCCTGGGTAAATTTTATTGTACCATCTGCCTCTTAATCTGTCTAATTAGTTAACAGCTACTGTATACTTGTGTGTTTCTCTAATGGCCCTGCAGCAGGAGAGCTACACACGTAAAGTCTCACGGTGTCTTCAGTTTTTTTTCGGGCACTGACACAAACCAACAAACATCTGCAGAAAAAGCTTGAAGTTGCAAGAAATGTATGCATGTACTGCACATACAGACCGACCTCTTTGCAGTTTTCAGAGTTGGAGAAGTGAATGAGGTCATCATTGTACATCTCCTGGGTGTTGATGATGTCACTGTACTCCTTCTGGCTCAGGTCCTCTGGATTAATGCCGTTAGCTCTCAGGAACTCCTGGTAAGCTACGCTGAACGCCTGGCCGATGGACTGAGCGATAAGCTGGGCCTGTAGACAGGAAAAGTAGGAATCATGACATAAGCATGTGTTTGTGATCTTGTTTTGTTAGATCCACAGATGCTAACCTTCAGTGAGTTGTATATAAATAACAATACAGTTTAAAAAAAAAACATCGGTTGGCATCAAACAATAGTGGCATTAAGTGTGCCAAGAATATGTTAAAGCATAATATGAATTGATTTTCACTGTCAAAAGCTATTTGTTCCAATCGTGAGAGGAGAGCAGAAATGACAGGAACACTTCCCTGTTGTTTCAATGAGAACAAATAAAGTTTAATGAAGACAAGGGGCAGAAAACAAAATCCACACAAAATTAATGGTCTGTCTTTACTACAGTGATAGAATGATGTACAATTTCAGCCACACAAATCTAGGACTTTAAAACTGTTATTCCCAACCAGGAGTACTCACACCCCGGACTGTGGAGTAGCTCAGCTAAAAAAAACAACAACTATTCATTCACATACATGTGTTTAGGAGACAAACACGTGAACAAATAGGATTAAACATTATGTGTGGCTTTATATATTTAGAATATCTATAATCACAATAACCAATAAAATACCAGCAACAAGGGGCTGACTGCACAGAACACGCCTCCAACCAACTCCAAAAACTGAACAAAAGAGCAAAAGTTAAAAAATTGTTTGTTCAAGCTAATGGATAAATGGTTGACATCTTCAGGCACACTAAGCAGTAGTTATGAAACCAAACAAAAAAGAGAGGGACATCTAAACATTTAGACACTTCTGGGACCTGTATGACTTGTATGAAAGAACTATTGTAACAATATCCATTTTTACATACTACAACAGTGTTAAAAAATATGTATAAAGGTGGTTTTGATAAAGGGGTACTTGAGTTCATCTGTTAGGCCTGCAGGGGATGAGTAGAAAATAAATTGCGAACAACATCCATCCTGACACAAAATACATTTACAACCAAGGAAGGTAAAAGCTGGGAAAAAGAAAAATGAGTAAAACATGAACAAGTTAAAAATGAAAAACCTGAAGACTTATCTTGGTTATGAGAGATAGATCAGGAGAGCAAAGAGGGTATGTATTTTTGCAAGCTGTATTTCCTCTATTTTCCTATTTAATTGAATTTTATTCTTGCATATAAATCTCTTGCAGAATTTGCAGACAGTAATGACCCAAACTCTCAGAATCAATCCACTGTGAATTAGTTTTGCAGAACAATAAAAAGTCAAAACTAGGCAAACACTGCATATAGCCAGTGGAGCCACAATAACAGAAACAGTTTATAAGTTGATGGATGAGCGGCTGAATGGTTCTATTATAACTCTGGCCGGCCTTTAAAACCTGGCAGCACAATTATATGAAGAGAGGACAGATTGGAGTCCAGCCTTTATACCGACTGGCAATGGACACTCAGTTGCTGGCTCCTCTGTGCAACACTGTTTATGTTGCCAAGTCTTGCTGAATCTGCTTCAACAAGACAAGCAGCAGCTCTTTATGTTAAAACAAATGAATAAAAAATTGCCAGCCAATGTACATCATTTCATGAGATAGATAGATAGATAGATGGATATGATAGATAGGGTGATATGGATATTGCGAGAGTGATTATGAGGGGAATCATGAGTAGATAGATTTATGATTAGGGATAGATAGAGTAGGTTTGTTGTGATAGATAGATAGATAGATATTAGCAACAACATCTGTAACAATGTGGAGCAAACATGTAAAAAAAAAAATTCAGGATAAAGAAATAAAATGAAAATCATTACTACTGGTGATAACAGGGGAGCTGAAATAATATCCACCAATCAAATAACACTCAGAAAGGAATAACTGTCATCTTTTTACTATCTTTAGATGTAGGATTCATCAACCAAATGAGTCCTCTTACATAATGACAGAAAAATAACAATGTGACTTCCTTTAGTAGCTGTCATCAGTATAACCTCTCAGCTGCTCACAGCCATTTAAAATAGACAGTTTCTCTCACAAACACATTAACAGACACAGCAGGTTCTTTAAACTTGAAAACACTTACGTCTTCAGACTCAAAGACATGGCATATCATCTTGTACTGCTTCTTTGCTTCGGGTGCCCCGGGCGTAGTTTCAATACAGTCCTGTGAGGCTGTGCGTGGCATTCGGCGTCTCGCCATCAGGACCACAATGTTCCCAATATCGGCAATGTAGGATATAGTGCGGAGCGCGTTGTCCATCATCGTCTCCTGTAGGCAAATAAACCAAATTCACATACGTCAAAGGCAAAGCCGACCTTTGAAAACATTGTTTTTATTATACAACTAAGTTTCAGTTTGTGAATTTATAAGCTGATTGATCAAACCAAAATATAATCAATTGAAATCCACCTGTAAGTAAAATCTGAAACAAAAAATATATACCAACACAGAGACATTTAATATTGAAGCGTCTCTGGTCCAACTCCCAGAAAGCTCATGATGTTATTAATGCAGGTCTTCAGTCATTGATTTCCAGTTAATCTATACAGTTGTTATATAGTGTGTTTATTACTGTAAATACTGACTTTACTGCAGCAGCAATGCAATGCACATGCTACTTAAAGGTTGTTTGTTTTTATTAATTGTTAAAATGTGGTTCATTACACGCTGGAGCAACTTAGTAAAGTAAATCACTACACTACAAAAACTAAACTACAACTGGACCAAGATAAACAAGGTACTAAAATAATATGCGCTATAAACATGTGCTGGTGAGTCCACGCTGGAGCCAATAAATAGACAAAATACTAAATCACACATTTTAACTGACAAAATGATGAAATAACATATTTTACTCTACCATACACACTACCATAGCTTTGAGAAACATTTTGCAACTGTTATTGGTAATTATCCTGCTTCTGACAACAGTCAGTTTCCTTTGATCAGTAATATTTGAGAATGAAAATACCAGTGTGCAGGATATTTGTTTCCTCTCTTTTTCATTATCCTTTCAGCGCAGAGAGTGAGATGAAAGTATTGTTAATGGAAAACATACGGGCCTACTTTTGATTGAATTCAAAACTGGTGTATAATCGGATTATAGCCCAATAACGCCCCGATAAATTAGATCTTGAGTACATGTTCATCCAAAAATAATGAACAGGTGCACAAAAAACTCAGAAGGGGTTTGGATATCAGAGTGTTTGTGTTGATGAAATGAAGTGATTTGAATGGTGTAATCATGTTTGTTCACTCAGCCAAATAATTGTCTTGTGTCATAATGTAGATTTTATGAGGCATTGTTTCTGAACACATCTATGGAAATGCAACTTAGAGAAGATATGGAATCTGTGGGTATGCTGAGATGAACTTGTGTTTGTTCATGTTTAATGATAATGTGCTAAATTTCATTTCAGTTTAGTTAACTTCACTTCATTAACTGTGTCGGGTGTTTTTATTCCATTAGGCTAATTAGTGTTGTTGTTCCAGCCCACCTTTGGAGTTGTTCGTATTATGAATCAATGTCAGAAACCCCAGGCAAGCTTTATCAAGCCTTTTAATTGCAAAAAATCTCTCTCTTAAGAGTGCCAGGACCAGTGGCAACCAGATGGAAAAGGGAGAAAGATAGACACTGCATTGCAGCACGTTAGTTTCTGCCAGGCAGCTGCCCACACACACACACACGCACACACACACACACAAAAGGCCAGACAGCAGCTCAGACTGAAATACTGCAAATGAATCATCTATCGCATATACATTTAACTGTTACTGTGAGCACAAAGCTCTATTTATGATACCAAGAACTGCAAAGCTCTCAGAACCATTTCTGCCTCCTGTAATGGCCACTGCCGCTGCGTCACACAGCTGCTTGTTGTAAAGCTAAAGGGCAAAAAAACTTTAACAAAGTTTCTGCAGGAGAGGAGAGAAGCTTTGTTAAAAAAGAAATGTGACAGATAAATCTGATTTTTCATTCATAAAGATATTCAGAAAGTCAAACTTCTGACTGAATTTTGAATTTTTGACTGTGTGTCTGTCAAATAATTGAAAAAAATATCATGTAGTCTGTTTTGTAACTTTGGCAGACTTCAAATAAATGATATATGAAGAAACGTTGCTCTCCAAGTCACCCTCCATGCGCAGATGTACGTGCAGCATTATTTTGGATTCGCAGAGGTTATTCCTAAATCAAACAGTGACATCATGAGATTAAATAAATAAACAACAATCACTGGTGGTGTTTCATAAGAAGCAGTTTATGTCAACAGTTAAGCTGCAGTTATGTCAGCTATGACACAACAACACTCCCCTGATGTGTAGCCCTGTATGCCTCAGCGGGTGGCCGAGGTACTGTCAGGGTAAAAAGCTTTTATTCCCACAGGTGAGAAAAGATATATGGACAAAAAACATGATGTTATGTGTCCTTGCTGGTATTTACCTGTGAGTCTGCGTTGAGGACTTTGATCCTCTGGGTGGAGATGAACAGATCAACCTCAGTGAGGGTTTGAGCATCTCCGTCGGCGCTCTGCGGAAAGACATAACAAATACAAGAGTTGGTCAGATTGTTTGCTTTGACTTTTTGTTCAAGATCTTTGCACCTTTTTACTGTTCATGGTTAACAGTTATTCACAACTGCATGAATGTATGTGTTAAACGTAGTAGAGTATTAGTTTAGATATCCAAAATGCATGCATGTATAGTTTGGGGTCCAGCTAGGGAAATGCCTGTTAGATGGACAGGTTGTTGAGTCTAAAAGGTGAGGTGGAAAAAAGCAGAAAAAGAAAGCGTTTGGCAGTGGTGTTACTTTACATCAACTGTCTTGGCAAGAGGATGGCAAGCTGGCACGGAAACCAGAAACAGCTTAACACTAAACCCTTACCAGCTGGCTGTATTGCCAGTGAGAGCAATGCAGCTTCAGCACAGAACAAGCCTGCACACATTTCCCTCTAATCACTGTGTAGTGCAAGCTAATAATATTATAATTAGATTTTGCTTAATTAAAATTGCATGATACATTTAAAAATAAGGCAATAGTCCTAAAAATATTAATAAAACATGTATAGCTGTAATTAAATACATAATGTAATAAATGGTGAATTATTTATTTGTGGCTGCGGCTTGTAATGTTACTTTTTATCCTGACAAAGCGTCTGAAGATGCACAAAAACTAACCACAAATTAGAAAGAGATGTGATGAGGTGCTGTTGTATATTTTAATTTAAGAAATACAGGTTTCCAGTGCGCCTTTTGTCTGTAGAAAAGGTGTGTAGTTTTCATTCGGCTTAGCATATGGGCACAGCTAGCTAATTTGTGAACACTGGTGAGCATTTATGATTGCAGCCATACTACCAATTCAAAATCCAACTCGTCTTGTGGATTTAATCTTCTTAGACGCTAAAACCTGATGTTTACCACTGACATGTTTGATTAGAGCTAAACTGTGATGTCAAGTAATGCAAAGATACAAAAGAAGTAAAAGAAATAAGACACAAAACAACAAAATGGGACCAGAAATGTACAGCATCCCACTAATAACCATTTCTTTAAACAGTGATGAATTGCTATACAATGTTTCTTTTAAGCTCTCTTTAACTATTCATAACATTAAGCCTCAAAAGCATGTAGTTATAGCGAGGTTGTTTATGGATGATCCTTCTAACCACTGTATCTCAGGCTCACCAGAGTGTAAAGAAGCAAGTTATGAGCTGAGATATTATAGCATGAGAACGGTGTTAACACAAAAAATAGGCATGTACTGAATTACAATCTCCAAATACATAATTTAACTTACTTGAGGGTAAAAGAAATTTAAGTATAAAACATGAAAAAGTACTCTCTGAAAGTAGTATTTGTAAACACAAATTAGACTAGTAGCTGATGACACAAGCTTTGGAAGTGATGTTTCTAGCTGTTCTTATTGATACAATGAAGCTCTATGTCTTTGCCCTCAGGTAAAAGGTTATCATATTCAGTGTGTTGTTCTTCTGTGTTAGCAAAAACAAAACATTTGGATTTCTGTGGTCATTCCCAGTTATCTTGGTACATTTGTAATGTGAGGAAACTGTGCAAACTATTCAGAGAAATAATAGAGACAGCCCTAAGTGTCCTGCTCACATGTCTTCCGTTACCTTGTGGTCAGAGTGGTTGCATATAAATTCAAAGTCAATGTGCTGGTGCTTGGCTTTTCAGTTTTGTGCCTTTGTGTTGACCTTCAATCAGGATAAAAAGACCTTTTACAAGAACATTTTATGATGTGTCTGGGTAAAATCTGTCAGTCCACATTTGCTGATATTGAGAAATTTCAACAGACATTGTAGTAAAATATTATATAGACTTATAAAAGTGCAAAAA